ACTAATATAACATGAAACACAATAGTGAGTTAACCTAACCCGTCTGCTGCTTATCTTTTGAGATTTTTGTTTGTTATGATATATTTTTTCAATAAAAATGTTTTTTCAGTCAGTGTGGCCATACAGACTTTTTTCTTCTTGGTCAACATCCCATCCCTCACCAATATTTTCTGCTTTGTTCTGGTCTTCAGCCATCTTCATTGGCCGGCACAGGATGAGTCATCTCAGCACACAGATGCTGCACTGGAATGTAAACTGAGCTGTGCTTGCACAGCTCAGTGTACATTCAAAAGAAGACTGCAAGCAGGCAGGTAGGTTTCTTTCATTGCAGATGAGACATTTAATTTCTCCTCTGCAATAAAGAGCCTGTGTGCTTGCAGTTTTTGACAGCGCTACTTTACTTCCAAAGAAATTTCAAAATTGTGAGATATTAACAGTCCAATCCAACATATGTTGTGCTATCATCCAGCAATATTCAACGCCGTGCTTGAATTGTGGCCCCACTCCCTGCTCACCTTGAGTGTTGACCTATAAATTATAATAGGCCAAACTCGCTTTTAAAGGACTATGCAGCCTCCAAATTTCTTATCCATAAAGTGTTCCTTCCACGTGCTATGTCTCCATTGGACCTTTGGCTCCAAACCCATGCAAAATAAAACAGAAATATACCATAGTGCAACACCAGTTTTTTAAAATTACTATTTCAACATTCTTAGATATACACTCACATTAAAGAAAAAAATGTGCTCCAAAGTGTAATAATCAATTGTTTGCATTGCTCCACTGTGCCAACTAAATCATAGTGTTTCCTATCACCGAATAGGCTTAGGTGATGCAATTTTCTTTCTTGCAACCCATGGCAACCCAAAGGAAATCACTTTATTCCCCCATCAACACAGTCAGTGCTATTGTGTTCTGCCAGGCCAAGATTTAATGCATATATGGCCAGCTAAAGTTGTACTGTTGATTCTCTGACATATCTTCTCTCTGATACACTGAATGCTCCTTATAACTGCCTCTTGTCTGTGGCACTATGATACCCTTTTCCTATGTAATCTGAAGAATGGCACAGTGAGAGAATAGTTTATTGTGAGTTGTTTACTGTACTGTGAAAAATACCAAAAATTATATCCTTAAGGCTTCATGCACACTAGTGTTTTTTTAACCTCTTCACGCCAGCCGCACACAAATGGGCGGCCTCCCGGCGTCTGGTTTACAACACCCCTTTAGCACCTGATGGATAAATGCATGCACTAGCTGTTGGGATTTGAGCACAGGTATCTCTTGTTTGTTACATCGGCATGGATGTCACTCCACTTCCTCAAATGAAATCTTTCCAAAACAGAGCTCATACTATTCCCTCCAGCCCGTGCCCTCTCCCATGACTTCTGCATCAAGATCAATAATACAACCATCAGTCCCCCCCCTCATTCCAGGGTACTAGGTATAATCCTAGACTCTCATCTGTCCTTTCAGCCCCAAATCCAATCACTGTCCAAATCTTGTAGACTTCACCTCCGCAACATCTCCAAGATACGACCGTTCCTAACCTCGAAAACCACTAAGCAACTTATTCACTCCCTGGTTATCTCTCACCTTGACCTTGACTATTGTAACTCCCTCCTCATTGACCTAATTGCAGGCTATCCCCTCCTCAGTCTGTAATGAATGCTGCTGCCAGACTCATCCACTTTACTAACCACACCATATCTGCCATCCCTCTCTGCCAATCCCTGCACTGGCTTCCCATTGCCAAACTAATAAAATTCAAAACATTAACAATAACATATAAAACCATTTATAACTCTGCTGCAAATGACATCACCATTCTTGCCTCCAAATATCATCCAAACTGTACTCTCCGCTCCTCCCACAACCTCCTGCTCTCTAGCTCCCTTGTCTCCTCCTCCCATGCTCATCTCCAGAACCTCCCCCAACCTCTGGTACTCTCTACCCCAATCTATCCAACAATCGCGTACTCTGCCCACTTTTAGGCGATTTCTGAAAACCTCTTTCTTCAGGGAAGCCTATCCCGCATTCATCTAGTAACGGAATCTTCTATTCCTCCTATCAGTTCATCTCCCACAGTTATTACCTTTTGTACCACCAGCCCCTCCCTCTTAGATTGTAAGCTTCAAGGAGCAGGGCCCTCATAACTCTCTTGTATTGATCTGTATCACTGCTATATTGTCAAACACGTGTTTTTCAGTGTGCCAAGTGTGAACAAAGTCAGGCAGATTTTTACTATTTCAAAGTGTATGCTTGATTTAATCAAGATTAATAGTCTAACAGTCTATTGGAGCTATCCACTCTACATCTTACCCTTCTTTCCTTTGTGTGCACTTACCTGTGGAAACAGACCACATCTTTTCATCACCTTGACTTCACAAATCTACAGACAGCAACTATCTGGTTGGTTGTAGAGAAATGCAACACACAATTACTTTGCTTGTATGGGTATTTTTTCCAGTGTGCTGAGTTTTAGGCTCCATGCACACTAGCGTTTTTTTCTTATGCTCAATAAACACTGGTAATAGCGTTTTTTAGTAGTGTTTCGAAGCGTTTACGAGCGTTAGCATTTTATTAGCATTTTTACAGTATATGTAGAAAAAAAGAAGAAAAAGCTAGAAAAATGCTGTTAGTAGTGTTTTAGTAGCATTTAGGAGCGTTTAGAAGTGTTAAGCATTTTTTTCTGCTGGAAACACGCTCCAAAAAACTATTTTTTTTTCTGCTCCTAGAGCTGAAGCTCTAAAAATGCTAATAGTCTAAAGTAGTGTGCATGGACACTATTTAGCTTCTAGGAGGAGAAAAAAATGCTGATAACAGCTTCTAGGAGCCTAACCCCTTCCCACCGGCCCTTTAAGAGTTTCAGAAGCCGGGAGGCGGGACAGGCAGGGCGGGGTTTAGGGATCATGTGACCACCGTGACGTGTGGTCACGGCGGTCACATGATCGGGAAAGGACCTTTCCGTGAGTACCGGACATGGGAGCACATATGTTTTTTGGTAATTGCACACAAATGTGCGGCTGCTCGGCGTCTAGGCCCAGACGCATGCATTTATCCATCAGGTGCTAAAGGGGTGTAACCACATATTAACACTAGAAATTCTGAGGACCCTCTGCACACTGGTATATACCCTTTCAAGCAGACTATGCAATAAATAGGGATATTTAGTTCACACATATTGCAATACATGCTTAAGCTGGCCAACTACGTCAAAGTAATCCCTCTATGGCCAGTCCTATTCTGCTCTGCCTATGCAAATGCCTCTGGTCCTTCAAAATGTCTAGTGTTAATATGTTGTTACACCCCTTTAGCACCTGATGGATAAATGCATGCACTAGCTGTTGTGATTTGAGCACAGGTATCTCTTGTTTGTTGTATTGTTGGGTCAGTAGCCAGACCTGAACCTTGTAGCTCTCCCCCATTGTGTCTTTTCCCCTATGTTAGCATTGTGTCCACAGTAGCATTTGCGTAGGCAGGGCAGAGTAGGACTGGCCATAGAGGGATTACTTTGACGCAGTTGGCCAGCTTAAGCATGTATTGCAATATGTGTAAACTAAATATCCCTATTTATTGTATAGTCTGCTTGAAAGGGTATATACCAGTGTGCAGAGGGTCCTTCAGAAAATCCATGCCGATATGTCACTTAGTAGGTTAGTAATGTGAGAGGAGACTGAAGGGGTGAGGTGAGGGATAGAAAGATAGATTTGTGTGTCATCAGCATAGAAATGGTAGTTAAAGTCATGGGAATTTATTCACCTCCCTAGCGGTCCGATTATGTCCATATTTCTGTGCTCAAAGCGGTACATTTTTTTGCATGGAAATATGTTTTTTTTTTATTGTAGGCCTGTAATTTTTAGGAATAACTCACTGAAATCTGCCCGAACAAGAGTCTAGTAAACATCCCGGGTATGTTACAATTTGCAACACGAAATCATAAATTATAATTTAATAAATAATCATAAAAAAAATAATATAATAATAATAACAAATTTAATTCAATAAATATAATCAAACCAAAAACACTGAAATTTGAAACAGAGCACCAAGTTCCCACACCACTGAGCAAAGTCATAAAATCGTTTTCAGTGTCTGATAACGAATTTCCCCACAAATCATTATCACTCAATTCTGCAAGTAGTTCTAATTTACTATCGCTGTTCTCTAGCTGGTCTAAAACCGATTTTGACCTAAAGGGACGCTTTTTGGACGCCATGGACACTTCTCAGTTTCCAGGCAGAAAGAACAATAAAAATGCAGGCAGGGCACAGGACAAAACACTCGGGACAAAATGTATGTGAAATGGTTTGATACAGTAATGTTTTACTATGTGATTTTAGCGAATTTAGTGAATGTCACTTTTTGTCATTTTCAAATTTCTCGCCGTTCTGTCCCCCGTATGTCCCGACGCTCGCAGGGGATGGAACCCAGATGACAGATGCCAGCATCCGCTGGAGGACATTACAGGGGACGCTGCAGGAGGGACATCGCAGGTGCGCAGGACATGGTAAGAGAACAACAGATCCCGGAGCAGCGCCGCATGGTATTCCCGAGTGTAGCTCGGGGTTACCGCTTGTGGTACTGTATACACACATACAACCCCTGGCACAAAGTATGGAATCACCACTCTTGGGAAATGTTCATTCAATTGTTTACTTGTGTAGAAAAAAAAAAAATAATCACAGACATGCCTCAAAACTATTTTCATTTAACATTCCAACCTTCTGGCTTTAAGAAACACTTAAAAAAATAAAAAAAGAAAGAAAACTGTAATCAATTGCAACTGTTTTTGTAGGTCAAGCAAAGGAAAAAAATATGGAATCGCTCAATTCTGAAGAAAATATTGTGGAATCACCACATACTTTGCAGTTCCAAAACAAACATCTGCATCAGATTATGTCTGTTAATTAGTCTGCAGTTACAAAAAGAGTGCTTGCACACATTGGTGAGCTGTTGCACCAAGTTGATTGACATGAATCATGGCTCCAACACGAGAGATGTCAGTTGAAACAAAGGAGAGGATTATAAAACTTCTTCAAGAAGGTAAATCATCACGGAATGTTGCAAAAGTTGTTGGTTGTTCCCAGTCAGCTGTGTCTAAAACCTGGACCAAGTACACGTCAAATGGGAAGGTTGTTAACCACTTCCAGTCCGGACACTTTTACCCCCTTCCTGTCCAGGGCAATTTTCAGCTTTCAGCACTATCACACTTTGAACGACAATTGCGCGGTCATGCAACCCTGTACCCATATGAATTTTTTACTATGTTTTTGAGACAGATAAAGCTTTATTTTGGTGGTATTTATTCCCCTCTGGGATTTTTATTTTTTTTGCTATGTAAGTGAAAGTCCAAAAATATTGAAAAAAGTGTTTTTCTTATAATATTTTGCAAATAAATAATATTTCATCATAAATCTTGGCCAAAATTTATTTCGTTATCTTTTTAGTAAAAAAAAAAATAAGCCAAATTATTTTATAACCAAAAAGTATAATTTTTATTTTATATTTTTATATTATATTATTTATGTTTTTTTTTTTTTTACATACTGTCACCCTAGCAGTACAGTGTCACCATGGTGACACTGTACTACTTGTGGGGGGTGATGAAGTTTTTTTTTTTTTTTTTTTTTACACTGATTGCTTTTACACCCATATAGGATGTAAAAGCAATCATTTCTCTTTCTCTTTGTCTGCATGCTTGCAGCCATTGAGAACTACTGAGTGAGCTGTGATTGGTCATAGCTTGTCACATGGTACAAGGCTGTTGTCAATAGCCTTGTACCATGTGACCTCTGTGATCATTCACAGATTTCACACGTAATAAGCAATGATGTCACGAGTGATTGGCCAATCAGTGATCACATGATCGGGACCTCGTACAGAGGTCCTGTCCGACGATCGGTGTTTCACTGTGTCCGGAGGACACAGCGGGCACCCAGGGAGCACGCACAAGCATGGTGCAGGGAGGCCATTTATAAACGGCCACCCGACCCTGCACTGCCACCGTCCGGCCGTTTATGTACAACAGCCGTACAGGAGGTGGTTAAAGGGAAGCGTACTGGTAGACCAAGGAAGACATCAAAGTGTCAAGATAGAAAACTTAAAGCCATATGCCTCAATCCAATTGAAAATCTATGATGGAAATTAACAAAAATGGTCCATGACAAGGCTCCAACATGCACAACTGATCTGGCAACTGCAATAAGAGAAAGTTGGAGTCGAATTGATGAAGAATACTGTTTGTCGATAGTTAAATCCATGCCTCAGATAATTCAAGCTGTTATAAAAGCCAGAGGTGGTGCAACAAAGTACTAGTGGTGTACTGTAGTATTTTTTTTCATGATTCCAGAATATTTTCCTCAGAATTGAGTGATTCCATATTTTTTTCTTCTGCTTGATGTGCAAAAACAGTTGCAATCGACTACAGTTTTCCTTCTTTTTTATTTTCTTTTTAATGTGTTTCTTAAAGCCAGAAGGTTGGAATGATAAAAAAAAAGTTTTGAGGCATGTTTGTGATTAGTTTTTTTCCTATACAATTAAAGAATAATAGTGGTGATTCCATACTTTTTGCCAGGGGTAGTATTATTATTATTATTACATCGAGTTTATATAGCGCCAAAGGGTTTGCTCAGCGCTGTACAATAGGGGGGACAATACATGGCACAGTACAACAAAAACAGACAGCGTACGAGGGGTAAGAGGGCCCTACTCTTTCAAGCTTACAATCTAGGAGGGAGGGGGTAGTGGAACAATAGGAAGTGGCTGAGGGGAATGAAGTGGCTGAGGGGGATGAAGTGGTGGGAGGAATGAGGGAGGATGGCTGTTAGGTGAGGGTGGGGTAGGCTTCCCTGAAGAGATGGAGTTTTGAGGGAGCGCCTGAATGTGGGGAGGGAAGGCGACAGTCGGATGGATTGGGGCAGTGAGTTCCAGAGGATGGGGAGGACCTGGAGAAGTCCTGCAGTCGTGCATGGGAGGAGGAGACCAGGGAGCAGGATAGAAGGAGGTCCTGTGAGGAGCGAAGGGTACGGGTAGGGTGGTACTTGGGGATCAGGTTGGTGAGGTAGTCAGGGGCAGTGTTATGAACGGCTTTGTAGGTCAGGATTAGAAGTTTAAATTTGATGCGTTGGGCAATCGGGAGCCAGTGGAGGGAGAGGCAGAGGGGGGTGGCAGAGGTGGAGCGGGTGGTGAGGTGGATGAGTCTGGCCGCTGAGTTCAGGATGGTCTGGAGCGGGGAGAGCCTGCACTTGGGTAGGCCAATGAGAAGAGAGTTGCAGTAGTCAAGGCGTGAGATGATGAGGGAGTGTACAAGAAGTTTGGTGGTGTCTGGGGTGAGGAAGGCATGCATCTTGGCAATATTGCGGAGATGGAGCCTGCAGGTGTTTGCAAGTGATTTGACATGAGGGAGGAAGGAGAGGTTCGAGTCAAGAATGACGCCAAGGACTTTGGCTTGCGGGGCGGGAATGATAGTGGTGTTGGTGGTGGTGATGGATAGGCTAGGGGGGGGGGGGGGTGTGGGCAGGGGGAAAGACGAGGAGTTCGGTTTTGGAGAGGTTAAGCTTGAGGAAATGGAGCGACATCCAGTCTGAGATGTCGTTTAGGAGGTGAGTGATGCGGGCGGAGATAGTGGGGGGTGAGGAGAGGGGTGGAGAGGTAGATTTGGGTGTCGTCAGCGTAGAGGTGATAATTGAAGCCATGGGAGTGTATGAGTGTGCCCAGGGAGGAGGTGTAGATGGAGAAGAGAAGGGGTCCAAAGACAGAGCCTTGGGGGACCCCAACAGAGAGGGGGAGGTGGTACCATTGTAGGTGACGTTTAAGGAGCGTCGGGATAGGTAGGATGAGAACCAGGAGAGAGCGGTATCTCTGATGCCAAGGGAGAGTAGTTTATTAAGGAGGAGGGGGTGGTCGACTGTGTCGAAGACCGCAGAGAGGTCCAGGAGAAGGAGGACAGAGTAGTCGCCCTTGGCTTTGGCGTTTAGTAGGTCCTTAGTGATTTTGAGGAGGGCAGTTTCAGTGGAGTGTAGGGGACGGAAGCCGGACTGTAGTGGGTCAAGGAGGTTATTGTCAATAAGGTGGGCGCTTAGGCGCTTAGGTAGTATTGTAGACATTTAGCAGCATTTAGTGGCAGGAGAGTTTAGAGGTAGGAAAAAAACCCACTGCAAGTGCATCCAGGAACACAGTGTTTTGGCAAAAAAACAAAAACCGCTTGATGCTTGTAAAAGCGTCTAAATGTGTGTTAATTCTACACACGTTTAGTGCTTGAGTGTTAATTCATTCTAATGGCCAGGATAAATTAATTTTCTGGCCAATGAAATGAATTAAAGTATAAGTTCACCTTTCATAACATGTTACATGTTACACCTATATTGAGGGAAATTTTTGTAAAAAGTGGCCGTGCGGGGCCTCGCCCACCCGGGTCACTCCTCTGTGAATGAGAAACTACAACTCCCGACAGCCTTAGTGGCTGTGAGCTTGTGGTTCTCAATGAACTACCATGGCACTGTGAGGCGCCGTGGTAGTCCATTGAATCTTCCTGTCAGTATATCTGCTTCCTCGAACATCCCGTACGGGCAAGCAGATATACAGTACTGACAGATCTGCAGGAAACCTGCATGGCACCAACGATCTGCTGATCACTGGTGCAATGGTTCACAGGCTCCTGCAGCAAAAATTAATAAAAGCACATTTTTTTTTAACTCCAGAAAAAAATGTGCATTTCTTATCAAAGGGTGAACTTATCCTTTAACGCCCAAGAGCTTGACACCTGTAAACGCGCCTAAACGCTTGTAAATGCATTTAGCACTTTAAGGCCTCTTTCACACGGTCAGTTGTTCTGCCGCTTGTAAATGCATTTTTTTTTTATTTTGAAATTCCAACACTCCTGGCACAGAGATCACTTGCTGTTGCAGCGGTTATCTGCGATTACGTGCATTTACATGTGGCTGCGCTTAGCTGTGGTAGTAAATTCTTGCCTTTTCTATAGCAGCTGTTTACTTATTTTTTTTCTTTGTACTTCAATTAACTGCGTTTATGTACAGATAGCTGCGGTACATGGCTCCTGTACGCTGTCAGTTTTATTTTTCTTAAACGCATAAAACTAGGGATGCACTGAAATTTCAGTGGCTGAAACATTTCGGCCAAAAACACCCCTTTTGGCCGTTGGCCAAAATGAGAAAAAGCACCAATACAGGTGCCGAAAAACCCCGCCCCTTCCCGCCATCCACTCGCCGCTGCCGCCCCCGCTCATTCTCCGCCTTACCTGAGAAACCATTGATCCCGGCGGTGGGCATAGAGATGAGTGAAGGAAAGATGGCCGCCGCTCATCTCTATGCCCTTGGAGGATCGGAGCGATGTCACTTCCCGTTCCGGCCATTTTTTTTTTTTTTTTAAAGCACTAGATCAATGCTTTTTTTTTATCTAACGCTCTACATTGTAGAGGAGAGATGTGGGGTCTTATTAACCCCATATCTCTCCATAAAGAGGACCTGTTACTAATTATTTCTATCACAAGGGATGCATGCATTCCTTGTGAAAGTTTGTGATAGGAATAAAAGTGATTAAAATTGTTTTTAAAGGGACAGTGCAAAAAAAAAACAACAACAAAAAATTAAATAAATAAAAAAAAAGTTTAAAGTTCCCGTGTCCCCCCATGCTCACACGTAGTGGTGAACACATACGTAGGCCATGCCCACATATGTAAATGGTGTTCAAACCACACGTGAGGTATTGCCACAAACGTCGGAGCAAGAGCAGTAATTCTCGCACTAGACCTCCTCTGTAACTTTACACTGCTGACCTGTAGACCAGGGCTTGAAATTTCCACTCACCTGTTCGCATTTGGCTAGTGAAAATAACATGTGGGCGAGTGTGTCCCAGGCGCCGCATCGGAGGGTGGGGGGCGGGTGCTACCAGCAGCACCAACCTGCCCCAAGCACTGTGTTGAGGGGTGCCGCTCCTCAGTGATCGCAGTTTCACTCCTGTCACAGGGAGCGGCTGCTGACACTTGCTGGGAGGGAGGACTAGGCTTTCTCCTCCCTCCTGTCTTCAGGGGACAATAGACAGCCAGCACTAAGGAATGAAGGCAGAGTGTCCTTCCTCTCTCCCCTTGTCATGTGACTTATCACATGACCGAAGGAGGGAAAGAAGGAGAAGCTGGTCAATGACATGAAGAGAGCTGGGACCACAGTTTCAAAGGTCACTGTTGGTAGAACACTACGCCGTTATGGTTTCAAATCATGCATTGCACGGAAGGTTCCCCTGCTCAAGTCATCACATGTCCAGGCCTGTCTGAAGTTTGCCAATGACCATCTGGATGATCCAGAGGAGGCATGGGAGAAAGTCATGTGGTCAGATGAGACCAAAGTAGAACTTTTTGGTCTAAACTTCACTCGTCGTGTTTGGAGGAAAAAGGATGAGTTGCATCCCAAGAACACCATCCCTACTGTGAAGCATGTGTAGTAAATATTAACACTGATTTTCTCAGGTGTTCAAATACTTATGTTCAGCAGTGCAAGACAAATAAATTCTTTAAAAATCATACAATGTGATTTCCTGAAATTTTTTTAAATTCTGTCTCTCAGAGTGGGAATGCACCTACAATGTGAATTTCAGACCCCTCCATGATTTCTAAGTGGGGAGAACTTGCAAAATCGCAGGGTGTTCAAATACTTCTGTTCCTCACTGTATAAAGGGGGACTCTGATGGGGACACCTGATGTAAAGGGGGACTCTGATTGGAGACCTTATATAAAGGGGGAATCTGATGGGGACCTCTGATGGGAACACCTGATGTAAAGGGGCACTCTGATGGAGACACCTGATGTAAAGGGGGACTCTGATGGGGACACCTGATGTAAAGGGGGACTCTGATGGGAACACCTTATATAAAGGGGGACTCTGATGGAGACACCTGATGCAAAGGGGGACTCTGATGGGGACACCTGATGTAAAGGGGGACTCTGATGGGGACACCTGATGTAAAGGGGGACTCTGATGGGGACACCTGATGTAAAGGGGGACTCTGATGGGGACACCTGATGTAAAGGGGGACTCTGATAGGGACACCTTATATAAAGGGGGACTCTGGTGGGGACACCTAATGTAAAGGGGGACTCTGATAGGAACATCTTATATAAAGGGGGACTCTGATGGGGACACCTGCTGTACAGGGGGACTCTGATGGGAACATCTTATATAAAGGGGGACTCTGATGGGAACATCTTATATAAAGGGGGACTCTGATGGGGACACCTGATGTAAAGGGGGACTCTGATGGGGACACCTGATGTAAAGGGGGACTCTGATGGAGACACCTGATGTAAAGGGGGACTCTGATGGGGACACCTTATATAAAGGGGGACTCTGATGGGGACACCTGCTGTACAGGGGGACTCTGATGGGAACATCTTATATAAAGGGGGACTCTGATGGGGACACCTGCTGTACAGGGGGACTCTGATGGGAACATCTTATATAAAGGGGGACTCTGATGAAGACACCTGATGTAAAGGGGGACTCTGATGGGGACATCTGATGTAAAGGGGGGACTCTGATGGGGACATCTGATGTAAAGGGGGACTCTGATGGGGACATCTGATGTAAAGGGGGACTCTGATGGGAACACCTGATGTAAAGGGGGACTCTGATAGGGATACCTTATATACAGGGGGACTCTGATGGGGACACCTAATGTAAAGGGGGACTCTGACAGGAACACCTTATATAAAGGGGGACTCGGATGGGGACACCTGATATAAAGGAGGACTCTGATGGGGACATTTATTTTCATTTTATGTTTACATTGTTTTTATGTTAACCACTTGCCCTCTAGACTCTATTAAGCTATTGCTGTTATGTTTACATTGACATAATAAAGCTATGTTATAATTGCTGTTTTTTTATATTTTGGACTCTTTATTCTAAAGAAAAATTTAATTTCATAAGCTTTAAGGGGGCGTGGTTGGGGGCGGGGTTGGGGGAATGGGCCTGGGGTGGGGTTGGGGGGCGGGGGGGGAACGGGCCTGGGGTGGGGTTGGAGGTGGACCTGGGCAAGGTTTGGTGGTGGGGCAACTGGTGGAGAGTAGGGTTTTTGCCTGGCTAGTAGGTCTAGCCTTGTAATTTTAAGCTCCGCTGTAGCCATTTTTAAAGCATCACCCATGGAGATTTTTAAGCACTGCAGTTTCACGCCATTCCACGAGCGTGTGCAATTTTAAAGCGTGACATGTTGGGTATCTATTTACTCACCGTAACATCCTCTTTCATATTTTACAAAAAAATTGGGGTATATATTGTTGTTTTTTTTAATCAGTGTATTTTTTTTTCCATAAAATATACATTCAGTTTTAAAAACTGCGCATTTCGATTTTGATTTTCGGCCAAGTGCATTTTGAATTTTCGTTTTCAGCACCAGAATTTTCATTTTGGTGCACCACTAAATAAAACCGTATGTTATGAAAACGTTGTGTGTGTGGATGGAGCCATAGGGATGCATTGTCTGCATTTAGCTGCGGTAAATAAATTCCTCTAACCGCAGCTAAAAGCTGAAATCTAACTGCCCCTGTGGAAGGGCCCTTACAAGATCAGGCATTTTTTTTTCTGCCAAAACGCTGCTTTGTTTTCAAAACATCCTGTATGCATCAGGCGTAAATGTATGCCTGTGAATTACCCTAATGGCTCATATATACAGAATGTCAGTTTCAGTTGGGTTTTGGTCCTTTGAAAGCATGTGACAAAAAAAAACCCAAAACAATAGCAGATGACATATTCATACTTGGTATGGAGTTTGGCCTGACTTTTTGCTCCTTCTTCTGGAATGATTCATGGGTTAGTGCTATTATTCAGTGTGTAATTCATCAAACAGATTGAATGTGAAGCTATTTCCAGATACGTGCTGCATTTACTCCATAGACTCACTGGGGTTGATTTACTAAAACTGGGGATTGCAAAATCTGGTATTCGTGAATATTCTGAATATTGATGGTGCATGTGCTTTAAATGACAATGATTGATGCACCACCAGTGAATGTTTGATGAAAGTCACATTCACTGCTTTTTCTAAATATGCCCCAATAGAGTTCTATAATGTGGCTCAGTGGTTAGCACATCTGCTTTGAAGCACTGGGGTCATTCATTCAAATCTTGACCAGGACACCGTCTGCATGGAGTTAGCATGTTTTTCCTGTGCTTGTGTGGATTTCCTCCGGGTACTGCGGTTTCCTCCCACACTCCAAAGACATGCTGGTAGGTTAATTGGCTCCTGTCTAAACTGGTCCTAGTATGTGTGTGTACATATGCATGTAGGCTCCTTGAGGGCAGGGACTGGCATGAATGAATTGTATGTAAAGCGCTGTGTAAATTGGCAGCGCTATATAATATAATAAAAGACAAAATACTGTATATATATATATACAAATTATATTAAAAATATATATATATAAAAACTAGTTTAAAAACAAAAGCCGTTATTGTTTAACCCCTTGACGCCGAGCTGCCGCATATTTGCGTGCAGTTATAAAATACATATGTGCTGAGAGCGCGCGCCCTGCGCACTCCCAGCACATATGTCCGCGACTCCGGAAAGGTCCTGATCTCCCCTTTCGATCGGGACCTTTTCCGATCATGTGACCGCCGTGACGGGGAATCACGGCGTTCACATGACCTTAAAACCCCGACTCTCCTCCCGACTTCTGAAACTCTTAAAGGGCCAGGAGGCGCCAGCATGAAGAGGTTAATAGCTCAAATCGAACAGCCCCAGACTGAAGCTAAACTTTGTGGTACAAGAGGCATTCCTTGAGTGCAGCCCACCTGGTCCAGTGCTTACCTCTCTCCCTGTTTTAGGCCCACCACCATGCGTCCCTGCCCAGAACCGCACAGCCTTTCCTGCCAAAGTGCCCCCACCAGGTCCCTTTCATCTTACCCATAGGGGTAGCAGTCCTACTCCAAAATTCTGCAGACATATTCTCTTTTATTAGTGTGGAATTTGGCAGCATAGGCAGCAGCAGAGGTAAGAATTTACTTTTAACTTTGCATGGAGCTCTGTTTTCTGAATTTTAACTTAAAGTGGTATAACCCCAAAAACAAAATGTAATACTGTATATTGCAGCTTACCAAATCAACAGATATGGTGGCTGCATTGGTTTTCTTTTTTTAGGTCTCTGTTTTCACCTGGTGATCTGGCCAGTAACACGCCTTCTGTATTAGAGTGCCTCCACTCTGGATGAAGGAGCACATGAGGCACCTTTGGACAGCAGCATTATCAGTCTGGGGGGAGGAGAGTGTTAAAGCGTTACTAAAGGCTTATCTTTTTTTTTCTAAAAATAACAAACACGACTATGCTTACCTGTGTGCAATGGTTTTGCATACAGGTCCCCCGCAGGCTCTCCTGGCCTCTTCTTCCTGGCGGGTGCCCTTGCAGCAAGCAGCTTACTATGGGGGCATCCACTGCTCCATGTGTCCATTCACACACGGAGCCGTGGCTCGACCCCGCCCCCTCTCTCTTAACACTGGCTCACTGGCTGGGATTGAGAGCAGTGGGAGCCAATGGCTCCAGCTTCTGTCTCAGCCAATGAAGAGAGGGAGTCCCGGCATAGCAGAGACTCCAGTGTACATAGCTGGATCGAGAGGGGGCTTTGGTGAGTATTAGGGGGGCTGATGCACAGAAAAGGTTTTTTAACTTCATGCATAGAATGCATGAACGTAAAAAGCCTTGAGCCTTTAGAACCACTTTGGGCTGGCCATACATTATACTATTTTTGTGTTCAATTTCTTTTAGATTTACCTTCAGCTATGTAGTAAAAGGGCCTACCCGATTGCACACAAAGTGAATGTGTTTAGGTTTCACCTCATATTATATGGTTTTGTATAAATCTAAAGGAAAATTGTACAAGAAAATTGAAGAATGTATGGCCAACCTTAGATGCACTAGCAGATTTTGATACACTAACAAATTGAAGCCAAGCTCAAGCTAACACGTTATAAACAGTTTTTTTTTTTCTTTTGAGATAAAGGTTTTACACGAATGAATAAAAGCTGATCATTGTAAGCATCCTTGTCAATCAATGATTTATCTCGACCCTCTGACTGCTACATCTGCAGGACAGTTTATTCCGTTGAAAAACAACAGATTTACTGGCAGGATCACCAGGTGTAAATAATTGAAAGAAAGCCTAAAAAAGAAAACTAGTGCAGCCATTGCAGCTAAGAATTGGTAAGCTGAAATACCAGAAATGTTTGCTTTTGGGTAAGCAACAGACTCCCTTTTATTAAGTCTAATGACCCTGCAAAATTCTTCAGCAGTAGGTAATTAAAGGGAAGAATAGAGGTAAAAACATGAAAAGGGGTTTAAAATGCATTAGTAATGTACGTACACAGTTATGTGTGAGTCTCATGACCTCGTGTTTTGTCACCATTGAAACCTCCTTTAAACATAGATTACAGTAGTCAAGGAGATTCCCCTTGCTAGTGTCTGTAGGCTTTTATTAAATTCCTTTCCACTTAATAGCCAGAGATAAAGATACAATGTAACTGTCAATAGATCTTTCAAAAGAAAACCCTACCCATAAACGTGCGTGCTCAGATTTCCTGATTATTCTGCTTATTATTATTAGTAATGTAGACATAAAAACACATACAGCCAGACTCCAGAAGAACCAACAGAGATTGGGAACAAATATTGTGTCATAATCAGACAAATCAAATAATGATAATCTCTTGTTTATCCATAAACTGGCATGCTCAGATTTCCTGTTTATTAGTATTGTTATAATATATTAAAAATGCTGACATAAAAGATTGGGAACAAATATTGCACCAAAATCAGACAAATCAAATAATGATAATCTCTTGCTTGGACATTTTAAGTACATAGATTATGACATTATACATTACAAATTATGTACATACATTCATGACATTATTTTAATGGTTTGGATGTTACAGATCAGCATTCCTTTCAATGCTAAATGGTGTCAAAGAAAAGAGACATATATGTGGAATGTGTTCACCTGTATCCAGTGTTATTTATATAGGGTTTGCACGCTAACCTCCAGGCAATGACAGCAAAACGCAGCTCAGGGCCAGGAATTAAAGCAAAGTTCATGCAGGATTATAACCTGATTTCTTCCTTGACAGTTTACTGCGGTCAACACAGTCACTCCCCGGCCTTATGTGACTCATTTACAAGAAAAGATACTGCAATAGCTTACAGCTTACTGTAACCTTATTTTTGTTATTACTCAGTAATATTATTAATACTCATTCAAGTTATTACTTAATAAACTAATTATTTTATGATGGTTAAGTGGAATAACATAGCGATTTGGTATCAGCAATAGGATCTATTGTACCATGTAGAACATAGTCCCGACATCACCTGATTCTCCATAGGGTTCATTCACATGGTGGGTAAACTGCATCAGATAGACCCAGCACTCTGCATGGTAACTTCGTGTGTTGGCGTGTGTTTGACAGTCTCCATTCATTTCTCTCATGTATGGAGCTGTCAGTTGCACACAGCAGATGTCAATGCTGGAGCAGACATCATTGGGAAAATGCATAAAATTGTTTTGTCCGTTATAAATTAAGCAGCATGTGAACAACGCTTTTCTATTATTAAATTTGTTATTTCCATGTTTCAAATGCTGCTTGATTGGTTGGTTGTGTTTGTTTGATGCATTTCATCATTCATGTGAATACGACAATAAATTATATAAAGCCCAAA